ATATATGTTGTATCATATTACTTACTTATATCCAAGCTTGATCCTGAAGTATCTAATGGGTGAGCCTGCATTATCTAGAAGATTAGCTCGTTGGCAAATCCTATTGTCTGAATTTGATATCCAGTATGTAAGCCAGAAAGCGGTTAAAGGGAGCGCTATAGCGGAATTCATCGCAAGTAAGGCTTCTGAAGAATATGAGCCATTGAGCTTTGATTTCCCAGATGAAGATTTAATGGCTATTTTAGTGGAAGAAGCAGATACATCCACTAGTAAATATTGGAAGTTGAACTTCGATGGTGCTTAAAATGCCATGAGATATGGAATTAGGTAAATTTTGGTCTCACAATATGGAGTGCACTATCCTTTTACTAGTCGGCTCAATTTTGATTGTACAAACAATATGGATGAGTATGAGGATAATGTTCTAGATCTTAGAGATGCCGTTGAACGTAAGATAAAAATGCTCAAGGTATATGGGGATTCAGCTCTGGTAATTTACCAATTCAGGGGAGAATGAGAGACACAAGATCCCAAGCTTGTAGAATATTGTAAATTTGTTATGGAACTTGTTGAAGAATTTGAAGAAGTAACTTTCAATTACCTCCCAGAGAAGAGAATCGAATGGAAGATTCCTTAGCCACTGTGGAAGTAGCATTTAAGATTAATGAGCACTCAAATATGATGCCCATTGAAATGAAAGCTTATGAGAATCCAACCCATTGCTTTAATATTGAAGAAGAAGAATATGGAAACCCCTGGTATTATGATATATTGCAATATATAAGATGAAAAAGTTATCCAGAACAAGAAACTGAGAATGACAAGGGAACCATTAGAATAATGGTATCAGGATATGTGCTCGATGGTGAGACCCTATATAATAAAAGCTTGGAACATATCCTATTAAGGTGTGTGGACACTAAAGAAGCCAAAACAATTCTTTTTGAAGTGCATGAAGGAATATGTGGTACCCATGCCAATGGGCATGTAATGGCTAAGCAAATTATGAGATTTGGGTATTATTGGTCAATTATAGAAACTGACTGTATCAATTATTCCTAAAAATGTCACAAATGTAAGATTTATGGAGATAGGATACATACCCCTCCTCATCTATTGTATGTAATGACAGCTCCGCGGCCATTCTCAATGTGGGGCATAGATGTGATTGGACAAATTTTGCCTAAAGCTACAAATGGCCATCGTTTCATTCTGGTAGTAATAGATTACTTCAACAAATAGGTAGAAACAGATTCATATGAAAATGTTACCAGTCGACAATATTTAAATTCTTAAAGAAGGAAAACATTTGTATATATGGTTTACCAGATAGGATTATCTCCGACAATGCATTGAATTTAAACAATAAGATGATTAACTAAGTTTATGAGCAATTTCAAATAAAACATCATAATTCCACCACTTATCGCCCAAAGATGAATGAGGTAGTGGAGGCAGCTAATAAAAACATCAAAAGGCTCATAGAGAAAATGACCGAGACTTACAAGGACTGTCATGAGAAGTTTCCATTTGCTCTATTTACTTATCGAACTTTAGTACGAACGTCGACTGGGGAAACTCTATTTTCTTTAGTATATGGGATAAAAGTTGTTCTACCTATTGAGGTGGAAATTCCATCACTTTGGATTTTTTCAGAGGTGAAGCTAAATGAGGTATAATGAGTACAAGCTAGACATGACCAATTGAATTTAATTGAAGAAAAAAATTGAAAGCTATTTGTCATGGTTAGATGTACCAGAAACGTATGATACAAGTACATGATAAGAAAGTTTGCCTTCGAGAATTCCACGAAGGAGATATGGTGCTGAGAATGATCTTACCCATTCAAAAATATTTCTGAGGAAAATGGATACCCAACTGGAAAGGACCTTATGTTGTCAAGAAAGCCTTTTATGGGGGAGCTCTAGTCCTAACTGAGATGGATGGATCAGAATTACCCTATCCAGTGAGTTCCGACGCGGTTAAGAGATATTTTTCTTGAAGAAGAAATAAAAAAAGGAAAAAGAAAAAGAATAAAAGAATAAAAGGGGATTCAAGATGAAAATCTAAAAAGGGTATCTTGAAGCCAAATGAGATCTCAAGTTGAAAACCCGCAAAGGGCGGCTTGAGTTTTGTTTAAATTCAGAGTTCATGCATGGTGGAGTTTCTGAATTGATTTTGGAAGTTGAAAGAGCTACTGATATGGGTAGAACAATGTCAATTGGTGATCAGGTTTGGGACTAAAGATTAATAAGTCTCGATTAAAATAACCGTGAGAGAAATTGAATGGACATGAGATTTAATACTGGTTTATGGCATCCAAAATTGGAAGATTTGGTAGTTCAAAAAGAGCTTCACACTCTTAAGCATCATCACAATTTTAGAGATCCTTTTGACAAAAGCTACACTCGAGTCATTCTAACGGCGTACCAGTTCAAAAGCATCTGCATTATTGATATTTAAAGAGGCCTACTTCTTTGTTCTTTTACTTTTTCCAATTAAAAGTTTGCCATGTAGTTACCCAAAAATTCTATGTATTTATATAAATAAAAAGAAGTAGCTTCTTGCTAATTTCCCTTTTTGCAAGAATCTTAATTGGAAAATTAAAAAATATAGCTTAATTGAAGTACATGAGATCATTGTGTATTATTATGCAAAACGATTTGGAAAATATAGGTAGTCTGAAGCTGATAATGGATTTAACATGTAAGTCTGTATGGTTACGGGAAATTAAAACCTTGGAATACATAGAAAGTCTCAGCCACTAGAAGATGACCCAAAGAGATTGTCATTAATCAAGAAGTTGGTCATGGGTACTGGCGGGTTTCAAGAAAGATATGAGTCAAGGTCCTGTTGAACTGAAAGATATGGTATCGAGATTGTTAACTGGGATGAACTAGTCAAATGTTATGTGCCCAAGATGAAACTAAGTTCCAATGAGATCAAGAGGAGATGATGTTTTTTCGAAAAGGAAATGCACTAAGATTGCATATATTTTAGGCATAAATAGGATCATGTCATTCATAAATGCATGAAGACTTAAATATATACAGGTTTCCCAATGATAGATGAAGATGGAAGATATTGGAAAATCAAGATGGGGATAACCAGTTTCAAAATCTTGAAAAGAAGGATGTTCAGATGATAATTAAGCCAAAGCAGATTCACATATTTAGTGTCTGCAAGACAAGTTCCCACAATAGAGATGGATTTTCAGAATTCTCTCAAATTCTAAACTTTTGAGTATAATATTGTTTTAAATTTTCAAACATACACTAATGATTGGTAATGTTTGATTTTCAGGTTCGACCTTTGAAGCAAATCAATCTTAAGCCTTCCCGAAAGATTATTGAAGCAAATCAATCTCAAGTTTGATCTCCCTTGAATGAATAGTGGAATAGACTTGTTTTCCGAAGATTTTTCGAGTCCTATACTCCTTAAAAGAAGAGGGAGCGGACCTGTTTTATGAAGATTATCCTATATTCCCTGAAAGAAGAGGGAGCAGACACATTTGTTGAAGATTGTTCGAGCCCCATACTCATTGAAATAAGAAAGAGCAAACCCGTTTGCCAAAGATTGTTCGAGTCTTATACTCCCTAAAAGAAGAGGGAGCGGACACGTTTACTAAAGATTATTCGAGTCATATACTCCTTGAAAGAAGAAGGAGCAAACCCGTTTGCCGATTGTTCGAGTCCTATACTCCCTGAAAGAAGAGGGAGCGGTCACATTTGTTGAAGATTGTTCGAGTCCTATACTCCCTGAAAGAAAAGGGAGCGGACACGTTTGATGAAGATTGTTCAAGTCCTATACTCCCTGAAAGAAGAGGGAGTAGACCCGTTTGCTAAAGATTGTTTGAGTCCTATACTCCCTAAAAGAATAGGGAGTGGAAACGTTTACTGAAGATTTTTCGAGTCCAATGCTCCTTGAAAGAAGAGGGAGCGGACATGTTTGCTGAAGATTGTTCGAGTCCTATACTCCCTGAAAGAAGAGGGAGCAGACACGTTTGCTGAAGATTTTTCGAGTCCTATACTCCCTAAAATAAGAGGGAGCGGACCCATTTGCTGAAGATTGTTCGAGTCCTATACTCCCTGAAAGAAAAGGGAGCGGACACGTTTGCTGAAGATTGTTCGAGTCCTATACTCCCTGAAAGAAGAGGGAGAAGACCCATTTTTCGAAAATTGTTCAAGTCTCACTTATCCTGAAGTTACAATGGAGTGGTTTAATATTTTGAAGATCTCAGGCCAGAAAAATTTGGCCATCTATTTGATCTTTGCTCAATTCTCGTTGCATGATAATTAGCAAAGAGGGACAGCTGTAGACGCTCATTTTGTCCGGAATTTCATTTGAGTTTTGTTGATATATTACATATTAATAATTACTTAGGATTACACATTATTTATGTTTGTGGTTATACATACATATATTTAGGGGTATATGAAATTATTATTATATATGTATAAATATATTACTGATAAACGTTAGTGCACTAATTAAATGTCTTACTTTTACAGGCCCATTACAGCCTTCAACCCATTTACAAGCCCCGCGACCATACACATACCGATAATGTTTCCATATACCGATCGATAAAGAGAATATGAGCTTTATGGCAAGAATAATAATCTTTTGAAAAGAATATTATTATATCCTAAAGTACAGTAGATCCAAATCAATCTAAGGAAAATAATCTCTCTTTTATGAGGAGAGATTTTCAAATCTCTTAAGAAGGGAAAGTCTCTTTGAAGAGGATAAATAGTCATTCTTGCAAATCAAAAAAGGGGAGGAGCCAAAGAAAAAAAAAAGGAGAGGACGGCAGCAGCAAAATTCACCTAGGATAAAGGTTCGCTAGTGAAGGAACAAGTCGAGGACGGAGTTGTGAAGCCAATTGAAGGACTTGAAAACAGAGCTTGCTGCCCTCCGCGTTGTTAAGATCGCCGGCGGTGCCCCCAACAAGACTTGTGCCATTCGACTAAACACCAGGAAGCAAGCGTAGCTATCCCATTGTTCTCACCTGTTCTTGTGTCGATTGCCCAAAGCTTTGGACCCTTTCTATCATAAATCGCATCAACACCCACAATTCGCATGGGGGCTGAGATCACACTAAAGCAATTAGAGAGCCTTAGTCCTCCCATTATGAAGCAGGTTCTTCCATTAGTTGAGCAACTTCCGCCCTTGGACATGGACTTGGTCAATGGAAGAGAAGATTTTTCTCCAAAACCAGAAGAAACTCGACTTATAAAGTCGTACTATGGCCTTTCAAGGAAACTTCTAATAAAGTTCAAGGATGATACAATAGATGAAACTTCAAACTTGGCTCAGGTGCTAAGTTCAGAGTCAGCGATCAGCTCAATGCTAGACATGTCAATTCGATCATTGACAGGAGATCATGGGTTTCCTCTACAACAAGCTCTACCAGATGTTCCACCTGCAATGGAAGATGCAGTGAATCGTGAAAGTGAGCTTTTGGCAAATCTGAGTGCAGGAACACCATGGGAGACTGTTGCCAAGGAGGTCAGCAATACATTAGGTGTAGACACACCTGTTCTTCTTGCAGGAATATCAAAGGACGTAAACAATCTTGTGGACGTGATCACATCCTGGATGGCTTCAAATTCAGGTGCAAAACTCTTAAACCCCTGATTGATAAGTAAAATGAAATAGGTTGAATTATGAATCAAGTCTATGCAAATAGGTTAAATTGTGAATTAAATCCATGTACTACATGTAAAGCCTTGGAATTTTTCATGGCGACTAAACCTATGTTATGCTTTGTGACTTCGGCACACATCATGTTAATGTTATATTTAAATTTAGGTATAAGACATCTTTTAATTAATACGCATGGTACCTTTATGTACATAACTTGACTTATAAATACATAATCGGATTAAGGGTAATACCCTTTTAATTTAAAATTATTATAAGGGGTTTGTCTTAACTTTTTAGAGAGCCACTTTTGACAATTTTAAATTGAAAGTGTATCCTATCAGTGACACCTAAAAAAATCATTCTTCACTTAAAATTTGGAAACAAAGAAAAAGAAATGTTCGAATATTTAAATATTTCAAGAAACGATTGTTAGAACTTATCTAAGATCTGAAATCGATATCTTTAAATAATCGAATATTTTTCATCTTTCTAAAAAGGATTGGTAATTTTAATTTAATCTATTTTGGTACATTTGAATATTATAATGAAATTATAATATTTATTTATTTCGATTGGAGTAAGAATTGATTGCCTCAATGCATGAGAGGTTTGTTTCTTCTCGATAGGAAATAATTAAATATTATTATGTTTCATTGTAAATTTCATATTTTGTTGTTTTTGTGGGATCATAAATCAAAATAAATTTGAATTTGTAAATTTCATTCCAAAGACATTAATAATCGACTAGGTACCGATTTAGGACGATGTGGGGGTGCTAATCCTTCCCCACGTATAACCGACTCCCGAACTCGAATTTTGGTAACACATGCCTCAACTTGTCGTTTTAATTAAAATTATTTTTTATTTAAAATGGCTAAATGTTTTTGGGTGCCCAATCACACCCTAATCAAAGATTGGTGACGACTCCTCGAACTCTATGTTTTTATTTTAAAAGGAATCGAAACTTTTTTTGCAACGAGAGGTTTTTTAAATCACATTTATTTTTTAATTAAAAATTAATCCAAAGAAGAAATTAAAAAAAGGTGTGGCTTTTAAAATCTCACTTTAAGAAAAAAATTGTTTCGACATAAATCTAATATGGTCTATTGACAAACATTTTTCATCATTGACTGTTATTGTGCTGACGTGACAGTTCACGATATTGATGTGAATATTACAATATTGACGTGATAGTTTATTGCGGTTGATAACATGGTGGATAAAATGACATAGAGACTAAATTGGTAACTCAAACATGTTAAATGGAATACCATATCAGTACCATGGACTGTCACGTCAATATTGAGAACTGTCACGTTAATACCATAACGGTCGAATTACAAAAATGTTGGTCAAAAAGTCACTTTAGACTTATTTTCTGAGTTAAAGGATCACATTGAGAGAGAAAATAATACATGTGCCACATTAATTTTTTTTTCAAAAATACAAAGAACTCGTATGTGTTTTTATCTTTTGGTAAATAAGTCATTGGTTCATGTTTCACCTATTATTCAATAAATTATCTCATTTTTCTAAGTTCTAATTCATGGTTCAAAAATACACTAGAATGATTATATCAGAATACTAAGTTAAGCTCTTTTTTAATATTTTATCACTATTTTAAAATATGCTAGGGATTATTATAAAATATGTTAATATTTAAAGAAAATACAAAAAAAATCTCGCATCATTAGTGAAAATCCATCAACTTTGGTTTAAATACAAACACTAATTATTTAATTTATAATGATAAAAGCGTTAGTTCTCTTATCATTTTTTTCATTATATTTTAAATTTGTAACTGATCAAATATTCCTTAAAATCACTCTCAACCACATAAAATTTTTATTGTTTTAAAGCTGTTATGATACTATAAATACTATATAACATCTGCCTTTTAAATCATTCCATAATAGAATAATCTATTGAGTCTCTCTCTTTTACTCTTATCTACAAAACACTTGAAAATTGAATATTCATTGGTTGCTATTTTTTTCGTCTGAACAAAAATTCTTATTGAATATTAAACAATACGTTTCATCCCCAAAAGATCTTTAAAAATAATATTTAATTCATATCTTAAAAAAGTCATATTTCCAACTCTTTTCTCCACTGAACCTCATATAGTCATATTTCTACTAAAAGAACTATAAAAATCTTGCCTTTCTCTTCCATCACTTGCGACGTACATTAACAAACAAATGGCTCTACAAGTCCACAATGATTTACCTTCATCAATGGTTAAGAGTTTTTTACTCAGTATGAAGACTGTTATTTTCGGTAAATTAGCTGGGAGGTTCTGGTGTGAGGTACTTATTTTAAAATAGGGTAAACTATATAAATGGTCACCGAACTTTTAGAGTGCTTGTATTTTAGTTATTTAACTTTTAAAACTTGCAATACAATCACCGAATTTTTAGTTTCATTTTCAGTAAGGTCCCTAACGTTGTCTCCCGTTAGTTTTATCTGATGTGGCTCATTACCGTTATTTTTAGCTTAATAAAATAATCCTTTTAACTCATTTCAATTCAATAAAAAAATTTCCTCACCCAAAATTGACTAAAAACCCTGAAAACCAAATTTCACTTTCTTTTATCCTATTTGTTTGATCAACAATCAAAGCTAGAAAGGCAGACACCAACCGCAATTCCAACAAGTTTTTATGGAATGTTAGCTACCTTACACACAATTTGGACGAATAATAATGTTGGAATGAGGTTCTTTGGGTGCGTTAACCATGGATGTGTATTGTTATCGTTGGTTTTCTAAGAAAGATGAGAGCAATGGAGAGGGGAAGAAGGTTTGAGCGAGTGATTTGGGTGGTTCGTTTGGGGTTTTTGTTATACCTGGTCATGTTGGGTTAAGAAATGAATAATCTAGGATTTAGGGATTATTCTTTTTTTCTTATGTATACTGCTTCGAGTTATTCTCTCCCTCATTTTCATCCACCAACAGTTGATAATCTAGAAAAAAAGCCTAAACTAGAAAAACCAAATTAAACCTAATTTATATAAGTCATTTGATCGGTGAAAGAATTTTAAACCCTTTTAACTTTTCCTAAATTTCATATGACGTCGTTTGGGAATTCTTTTTTATTTTTATTAAGCTAAAAAAATAACAGTAACTTGTCATGTCAGATAAAACTAATGGGGGTAACATCAGGGACCTTACTAAAAATAAACTAAAAGTTCAATGATTATGTTGTAAATTTTAAAAGTTGGGTGACCAAAATATAAGCTCCCTAAAAGTTCAATGACTATATGTGTAGTTTACCTTAAAATTAATGTTAGACTTTACCTGTTCAATAGGTAATGGGTAAAAATCAAAATATTATCCGGTTCGAACTTAAAAAGTTACATATTCTGTAAGAAAATCGATTATAACCTAAAATGTTATCCTAATTTTTTCAATTAAAAAATCTAAAAAAACTTATAGTAATTTTTTAGGTTTTAACCTAAAAAGCTATTTAATCTACATGTTTTATTATGTCCATCATTTTACTCGTTCTAACCTAATAAGTTTCATATTCAGTAAGAAAATTGGTTACAACATAAAATGTTATCTTAATTTCTCAATTAAAAAAAACTCAAAACTTATGCTAACTTTTTAGGTTAAAACCTAGAAACTTATCAAATATACATGATTTTTATGGCAAATTGTTAGGATTTATGAAGCTCGATCGATCAACCAAAATATGCCAAGAGGGGATGAATTGGCTTTTTGAAGTTTAGAGAGTAAGGAGTATAAAGATAGGAAAATTTGCACAATGATTTATAGTGGTTCAACTCTCTCAATAAAGTCTACATCCACTACCAAAGCTCCTCACTTAGGATTTTCCAACAAATCCGCTAATTTGTTCTTTCTTTTTCAAGGATAAAGAGATAACATTTACAAACTCCCTAGCTTTCCAAAGGCTTAGATAGAACCAAAACCCCCTTTATAAAGGAAAAGAATTGGAAACAAGAAAACCTCTAAAAAAGAAGGTGTTTACAAATTAAAGCTCACAAAAATACAAATATTTACATGAGAAAGAAAATAAAGAATGAAAAAATTTTCTCTTGTGTTTGAATGCTTGGATAGGTGTTGTGTAACCTTCTTCAAGTGTCTTGAACTTGTTTTTATATGTTGGAATGAGTTACTAGTCATTTCCAGCCGTTTGGGAAGGCTTGGAGCTGTTGGAAGACTTTCTTCACAAAAAGTTTTTAAAATACGGGAAAGTTTCGAAACTCTTCAAAAGAGCCGTTGGAAAAAATGATCGTTGGAGCCAAAGTATCGAAACTTTAGGGAAACTTTTGAAACTCCTGAGATAGTTTCGAAACTCCTGAAAAGTATCGAAACTTTTTGGGAAATTGCCTTGGAAAGTTTCGAAACTCTTGTAGAAGTTTCGAAACTTCTGGTCAAAATGCTCATTTTAAGGTTTTGATTGGACTTTGAATTATTTTTAAAAACTACAAATAAATTCAATTTAGGCCAACAAACATGTTTCCCTTATTTGTTATATCAAAATATAAATTTTACAATATTCACCTTTTTGATATAACAAAACCTTTGAAATATAGTTTTTGGAAAAAGCTACCCTTATTAAAACATTTAATGAAAAAGAGAAGTATTAGGAAAATATTAAAGTTCCCCTTTCCATTCTTGAAATTGAATTTTTCAAACTTATACTTCTCACCCTTTTTGTTATATAAAAAATAATTCAAACTTTTAAGGTTTAAAAATAACAATGGACAGTAAGTAGTAATTTTAACATTAAAATCATTTTAAAAATCAAAAGCTCCCCCTCAACAAATGATATCCAAACAAAAATTTGACTTTACAAGCTTGACACGTAAAAGACATTGAATTTCAACAAATATGAACAAACATGTTAGTAGCACATGAAATTCAATATATCCAAGTCTAATATACTTTATGCAATACCAATTGTTGTATTTAAGTGCATGTGCATAAAGTTATCCAAAAAAGTTATGCATTTGAAAAATTGATATCAATTGTTAAAGAGATATCAGTTGCAATAAACCACATGCATAACATTTAAATTAAGGTCAAAAATTAAAATTTGTAAAAACAAAGCATTAAAATCAATTTTGACCAAAATTCATTATGATGAAAAAAATTAAAACTTTAGAAAATGTTCGTCACAACAACTTTTAAGATACATGAGATAGAAAATCAACACAAAATCATTTAAGTTCAAAACTCATGCATGAATACAACAAATAGGCAACCAATTAATGAAAACAAAAACATTAAACTTAGAGGTTACTCATTCCTTTTCAAGTGTGGCTAGAGCATTTGAATATCTTCACTTTCATCACCATTACTCCCATACACGTACAGGAGATATTTAATTGGATTTTGGTATCCAAATTGCTTTGGATCCTTAAACGTTAGTTTCAACGCCCCTTGTTCCCTTAGGAACCCATACTTGTCTAATTTTAAAAAGTTTTCCTTTCTTTAAGGGACAAATATGTTCCAAATGACCATTAAAATGACAATGTGAGCATTTTTGCCATTTTTAAACATAATGAGTTTTTTTTAGAAATTAATTCTTTTTCTTTTGTTAAGCTTTCAAGCTTAACTTTCAAATCAAAATTTTCTTTTTCTAAATCATTGATTTTGATTTTTGAAAAGCTCTAAATCATTTTTCATAGTTTCATTTTGTTTTTTCAAAATCAAATCATTTTCAACTTTAAATTTTGAAATTAATTTCTTATATTTAGAATTCATGGTCTCAAACTCCAAATACAATTCATCATAGGCATCTTCTAACTCTTTAAATGAATAAGAATTTAAATCACAAGAGTTATAAGTTACCATTGAGTCTTCCTCGATAGCCATGAGGCATAAATTGGCTACTTCATCATCATCGAAGTTTTCTTCAACACTCCAAACTGCCACAAATGCTTTCTTTTTGCTTGATCCCTTCCTCTTTAGGAGATGGCATTCATACTTGATATATCCCCTCCTTTGGCACTCAAAGAATATCGGGGGACATTTCTTCTTGTTCTATTCATGCTTCTAGTCTTCTTTGGATGTCATGAATCATTTGAATTTCTTAAAGAACTAGGTCATTTCTTCTTTTTCATCCTCTTCTTCACGTGAGGTGTTTTCATCTTGAGTAGAGGATTTCAAGAAAACACTTTTTTCCTTTCTTTTTTTGTTTCTTCTCTTGTTCTTGTTCTTCCTTATTTTCCATCATCTCAGGAGCGAGAAGGGAGCAATTAAGTTCATCAAGCAATAGAGTTTTTAAGTTTTTCTCTTTAATGATTGTTGTCTTCTTCGATTGCTAAGATTTTCAAATAGAATATATCATTTTCCTAACAAGCTTCTCATTAAGGATGATCTCTCCATATCCCTTGAGACCGTTAACAATCATGAAAAATCTATCCGTCATAGCTTTGATGTCTTCATATGGTTTCATCTTGAAATTTTTATAGCTATGATTGAGAAGACCGATTTTTCGTTTCCCTCACTTCATCAGTTCCTTCATGAGTGACTTGGAGCTTGTCCCAAATCTCATTGGAATTTAAACAAGAGGAGACTATTCCATATTCATCCGATTCTAATGCACAAAACGAAACGTGCATGGCCTTAGCAATGAGTTGGAACTTTTTATTTTCTCTTTCATTCTATTCCGCCATAGCTCTAATTGGAGTAGAGTGATCCATCAAGATATAGCTTCAGCCATCTTCTCGGTTACTTTAGAAAATTAATGTAGAACTTCAAGGATCTTCACAAGTTTGTTAGACCTTTGATTTTGACATGCTATGATACCAATTGTTAGGATTTATTAAGTTCAATTTATCAACCGAAATATGCTAAGAGGGGGTGAATTAGCTTTTTTAAGTTTATGGAGTAAGGAGTATAAAAATAGGAAAATTTACACAATGATTTATAGTGGTTCAACTCCCTCAATGAAGTCTACATCCATTACCTAAGCTACTCACTTAGGATTTTCCAACAAATCCATTAATTTGTTCTTTTTTTAAGGATAAAGAGATAACCTTTATAAACTCCCTAGCTTTTCAAAAGCTTAGCTAGAACCTAGATCCCTTTACAAAGGAAAAGAATTGTAAATAATAAAACCTCTTAAAAGGAATGTGTTTACAAATTAAAGCTCACAAAAACACAAATATTTACAAGAGAAAGAAAATAAAGAATGAAAAACTTTTCTCTTGTGTTTGAATGCTTGGATAGGTGTCGTGTAACCTTCTTCAAGTGTCTTGAACTTGTTTTTATATGTTGGAATGAGTTACTAGCCATTTCTAGCCGTTTGGGAAGGTTTGGAGCCGTTGGAAGACTTTCTGGAGACAAAGTTTCGAAACACTGGAAAGCTTCAAAACTCTTCGAAAGAGTCGTTGGATAAAAATGACCGTTGGAGCCAAAGTATCAAAACTTTAGGAAAAGTTTCGGAACTCCTGAGACAATTTTGAAACTCTTGAAAAGTATCGAAACTATTTGGGAAACTGTCTTGGAAAGTTTCGAAACTCTTGTAGAAGTTTCGAAACTTCTGGTCAAAATACTCATTTAATGGTTTTGATTGGACTTTGAATCTTTTTCAAAACTTTGAATAAATTAAATTTAGTCCAACAAAAATGTTTCCCTTGTTTTTTATATCAAAATATAAGTTTTACACAAATGTAATATTTTAGTTTCCAACCTAAAATGTTACCAATTTCAACCTAATTGCACATTTGGTAAGAAAACTGGTTACAACCTAAAATATTACCATAGTTTCTCGATTAAAGAAAGTCAAAACTAAATATTAAAGAAAGGAAATTTTCGATATGATTGGGAAAATTCCCTCGTTCCCGCAAGAAAACCTTATCGAAAAACAAAACCTATATGGAACCTTTGGAGGAAGACCGCCGCAGGAGAAGACGGAGACCAATTTACAACCAGCTTTAGAAAGAACCGAATATCAGTCGAATCTGAAAGAACAAAGAAATCGAAAGAAAATCAAGAACACAAAGGATGGAAATATCAACGATAGTGTTACAGAAATAGAAGAGATCGATGCCGCTAATCTATCAGAGAGAGACATGGCCGAAGCATCCGGCATGAATGAAGTAGAAGAAATTGAAAGTGCAATACAAAAAGAAACATGAGATAAACCAGAAATAGAGATAAGAGGGAAGGCAACTTACGCAAGCATGGTAGCCAACACATCTAGGGCAAGGAAAACGCTAAATACAGGCTGTGGTATTAATGATGATGAAATTGTGGTATTGGATGAGGACTACGTTATCGACAAATCGGATGCCTTCCCAACAATCAAATTCTCGGAAAAAGTTCATGATCAAATTGATAAAAACATGAGGAATGTCATCATCGTTCGGCTGTTAGGACGGATGATAGGATACAAAGCCCTGTTAAATCGGATCCAAGCCCTATGGAAACCAATTGGAGAAATACAACTAATCGACCTAGAAAACAACTATTTCTTAGTCAAATTTGCAGATGAAGATGACTATACAAAGGTATTAACAGAAGGGCCATGGATAATATATGGAAGCTATTTGATAGTCCAACCGTGGAGTAGATCATTCTCAATTTCTGAAAAACATCCATCACAAGTGATAGTATGGATCAGGTTGCCAGGACTACCTTATAGATACTATACAAAAGCACTTTTTCGACTAATTGCTTCAGTAGTCGGACGAGTAATTAAAGTTGATTATAACACTCAGGCGGGGGAAAGAGGTAAGTTTGCAAGAATCATGGTTTTAGTAGATCTAAACCAACCACTAATTCCTTGTATTAGAATAGATGGATTCACACAAAAACTAGAGTACGAAGGATTACAACAGATTTTCTTCCATTGTGGGGTTTATGGGCATATAAGAGAGCAATGTGCAGCATATCAAGTACATATAGAATCTAAACGTGAGGAAGAACTTAATGAAAGGAACAAAAACAACCATAACCTTGCAACAACATCAGAAGAAACAATGTTTGGACCATGGATGGTGGTGGAAAATCGTCGAAGAAAAACAACGACGACACAAAAGACTGAGAAAGACAAGGCGAAACAAAAGTCTGAAATAGGGGGCTCTAGTTTCATTATTTTGAACGAAGAAGAGAATGGTTACATGGCTGAAATATAAATAAGGACAGATGATAAAAAAGATAATGAGAACAAAACCAGACTAGTAAATGGAGAAACAACAAAAAGGAACCTACCAGATCATCAAACAAGGGGAACAAATAGCAACATGAATAACATGGTACCAAAACCAGCAAAGAAAATGCACGAATCGGAAAGCATAAAAAACGCAATAGAAGTAATTCCAATGATAGAAGGACAGAACATGGAAGCAGTGGAACATATAACCACAGCAGGGAACGGAAACCACACAGCCATAACCATAAAAGAACCAAGCATGGGAAAAATGCATGGGAATAAATTCCCAAAAGGGGGAGAAGAAGCTGGAAGGATGAGAAAAGAAAACAATGTGAAAGGATTAAAAGTAAAAAAACAAACAACTTTTCGCCCTGCAAATCATAACCTAATCAAAGAATGGGTACAGACAGTATCTAATAAGCTATCCATAGCATCGAATGATGAACATGTCAATATTAAACCACAAACACTAGTTAATGTTCCATTACACAAAAACATGGTGATAAAGGATCAACAGATAAAGATCAGCGAAGTGAAGGGGGACACAGAGAAGTCCCGGTTAATTGTCGGACAACAAGGATCCGAAACCTCACAAATTCAACTAAATGACTAGTTTCATGTTTTGGAACTGCCAGGGAGCTGCAAGCCCGACCTTCAAAAGAATATTTAATCTCTTTGTTAGAGAACACATACCAAATCTGGTTGTATTATTCGAAACAAGAACGAGTGAAACAAAAGCAAACAGAATAATCAATAAAATAGGATTCACACAGTCACTTCGAGTAGAAGCACATGGATTTGGAGGTGGAATTTGGCTACTTTGGGAAGAAACAATGGAAATTGAGATTACCCATATATCAAATCAATTCATTAATGGTATATTTCGGCCTAAGGAAGTGAATACATGGGCACAATTCACAGTAATTTATGCAAACCCAAACGAGTCTAAAAGGAAACATCTATGGAGCCAACTAGAGGCACTAGCACCAAACGATAATACACCTTGGATCCTGGGGGGAGATCTCAATGTGATATTAGACGTAGATGAAAGAAGAGGAGGTGCGACGACACACACAAATGGAAACCGATTATTCGCCAATTTCATGCATTCTACTGGATTATTAGATTTAGGATTCCATGGTCCACCATTTACATGGAATCGTGGGAACCTACAACAAAGACTAGATCGTTGCCTCAGAAACACAAAGTGGATTTCAACATTTCCAAACTCACAGGTACTGCATCTAGATCGAATTGGTTCAGATCATCGACCCCTTCTCCTAAGGCTGACAACAGACAAACAAGATCATAAAAATCGACCATTCCGCTTCATAGCAGCATGTCAGGAACACCGTGAGTTTAAAGACTTTATCAAATCCATATGGAAAGAAAACGGGTAACTAAATGAAAATATTAGCACATTCAAAACTGAAGTGGAAAAATGGAACTCAGACGTCTTTGGTCATATAGGAAAAAGGAAAAAAAATCTTATTGGCACGACTGAGAGGAATAGACAAAGCTCTACAACGAACACACTCAGAATTTCTGGTAGAGTTGGATAAACAATTACGGACAGAACTCGACACTGTACTAGACCAGGAGGAGAGTCTGTGGAGACAAAAAGCACAGACAAAATGGATACTGGAAGGGGATCGAAACACTGCATTCTATCATGCCTCAACAATAACAAGAAGAAGAGCAAACAAAATCGAAACCTTAAAACGCGAACATGGCAGTTGTAGTACTGATCAAGAAGAACTTAGAGAAATGGCAAACCAATTTTATACCAAACTATTCTCAAGCAATGAGGATCCTAAATACAATTATGAAAGAAGAGGCAAGTTCAAAAAAATAGAAGAGCATGAAAAAGAAAGCCTTACACGAGAAGTAACCAATGAGGAAATCAAGGAAGCTATTTTTGGAATGGGACCACTTAAGGCACCTGGAATAGATGGAATCCATGCGTTATTTTATCAAAAAAATTGGAGCTTAGTTGGGAATTCAGTTTGCATGATGATCCGGAAAATATTCACAGAAGGAATAATGCCAGAACAACTCAATCAGACAATACTGCTACTTTTACCAAAAGTAGCTAAACCAGAAAAAATGCACCAGTTCCGACCGATCAGCCTTTGTTCAGTGCTATATAAAACAGTCACAAAAATCATAGTTAATCGTCTGAAGCCCCTGTTACCAGAATGGATATCAGATAACCAAACCATTTTTGTTCCGGGTAGAAGCATCATTGATAATATCATAATAACCCAAGAGGTAATACATTCTATGAGAAGGAAATCTGGAAAAAAAGGCTGGATGGCAATAAAAATCGACTTGGAAAAAGCATATGATAGACTGGAATGGAGTTTCATAGATGATACATTACGAGACCTAGGTATCCCAGATGCTATATGTAATCTTATTTACCACTGTGTTTCAACAGCTTCGACACAAATATCGTGGAATGAATCATTGACAGACGCTTTTAAACCATCAAGGGGGATAAGACAAGGCGACCCATTGTCTCCTTATATTTTCGTTCTATGTATGGAGAGACTATCACAAGCAATTAAAATAGAAATCGAAAAAGGACGATGGAAACCATTCCAAACATCAAGAAATAGCCCAAAGATATCACATCTATTTTTTGCAGATGACATGATTCTATTCGCAGAAGCCTCCTTAGACCAGCTCAATATCATCAGAACAGTACTAGAAAGATTCTGTGAAGTCTCGGGACACAAGGTAAGCATTGCAAAGAAAACAATTTTCTTCTCTAATAATGTACAAACAGCACTGCGAAATCAGATAAGCACATCATTTGGATTTACTATGGTTGATGATCTAGGGAAATATTTAGGAGTACCAATATTATACTCCCGAGCCACCTCGAAATACTATTATTACTTGGTACAAATGGTTCAAACTAAATTAAGTGGATGGAAGGCAAAAACATTGTCACTAACTGGTCGAATTACACTTGCAAAAGCTATTTTGGCAGCCATCCCAACTTACACCATGCAGACAGCAGTATTACCTAAAACAATTTGTGGAGAACTGGAAAAAATCATCAGACAATTTGTATGGGGTAAAATAGATGGAAAAGGAGGGTTTCCATTAGTAAAATGGGAGGAAGTATGCCAAAAAATATCGGATGGAGGTCTTGGATTTAGAAAGATAAAAGAGCAAAATGAAGCATTTATAATGAAAGTGGCATTTAATCTAATAGCAAAAAAAGACGCATTGTGGGTTCGGGTTCTCAAGGCAAAATACAAATGCAAAGATGAGATACCGACTAACATTAGAAGCCAAAACTGCTCCAAACTATGGAAAGGGATAAGCATGGTATGGGAGGATGTCCGAAGCAACATAACCAGAATAATAGGAAATGCGGTGCATACTGATTTTTGGAGAGACCACTAGATTGCAGAAATAGGGCCATTAATAAATTTGGTCAATCAACGAGACCATAATCAGGTGGGAAAAGCAACCATAAAAAGCATGACTGATGAAAATGGTAATTGGAACTGGAGGCAGATTGAACACCTTCTACCACTGCATATACTTCTGAGACTGGCAGCGATTAAAGGACCTTACACAATTGTAAAAAACGATAGAATTGGATGGTTAAAGAGAGAGGATCGTCAATTCTCTGTCAAAACAGCATATGAAGTTAGAATAAAACAAAGGGAAGATACTCAAGAACATATATGGAAGGTAATTCACGCATACAAAGGAACACAAAAGCTGAAAACATTCCTATGGCTAGTTTGCAAAGGTAAAATTCTGACAAATGCAGAAAGACTTCGACGACATCTTACAATTGATGGTAATTGCCCAATCTGTGTGACACAAACAGAGGATATTAACCATATTTTTCGACACTGCATTACCGTGACCCCTATTTGGACAACACTGGTAAAAAACGAGAGATTACAGAACTTCCTAACAATGGACATAAAGAATTGGGTTGAAGTGAATTTAACAAGACCAAGCATGTTTGCTAAAGAAAGTAAAGATTGGGAAATCCTATTCGGATCGGTATTATGGAACATATGGATCATGAGGAATTCGATTGTCTTCAACAATCCTATGGAAGATAACACAGGAATATTAGAACGAAGCTGCAGGATGACAAACTCAATAAACAATGCAAATAGAGAAAGAGACCAGGCAAACAAATCACAGCCAATTGAATTGGTTGGTCCAACAGTTTGGCTACCTCCATCAGAGGGATGGGAAAAACTTAATACAGATGTAGCCCGTAGAAATACAGATGGAAAAGCAGCATGTGGAGGAGTAATCAGAGATTTGAATGAAAAATGGAGGATCGGCTTCAAAAAATTCATAGGAATATGTTCTACAATGGAAGCAGAATTATGGGGAGTATATACAGGGCTAAGATGTGCATGGGAACAAGGAATCCAACAACTCATAGTTGAAGTATATAGCCTCGAAGCAATACAGACACTGAAGAATAGCACAAACAAAGAAGGAAATATTACCATAATATCGTACATAAGGGAACTGATAAACCGAGATTGGAATGTCAGATTGCAACATGTCCGAAGATAAGGGAATAAAATTGCTGATAAACTAACAAGAATCGTCAATTTCGAAGATAGCCAAACCAGAATCTTACAGGAGCCTCCTGCTGATATAAGCCAACTCGTGATTGAAGAATGCAATTAGGCAAAACTTATTACTTTTAAAGTTTTAACTTGAAAAATTATCTAACCTAATATTTTAAGTTATATTCGATGAAAAAATAAAGTACATCTCAACATATTATGCTACTTTAAACTCCCTTTCTTTACATGCTCATTGGTTAACAGTTGCAATTGGTTTCTCTCTTTTACTTAATCTAACGGTTAGTTTTAAAATTTTTAATCTAAAAACCAATCCAACGGCTCGAAAATAACATCCTTGTATTAACCTTATTTGAGAGGGTTTTATTTTTTATTTTTTGATAAAAAAAGAAAGAGC